TACAACCGCATAACTGAGAAAATGCGGGAAACCATGAGTGTGGGAGAGGTCGAAGCTAGGATGGAATTCCTTTCGACAATACTCAAGGTTCAGTTGGCTAAGGAGACTGGGAGAAGGGACGGACTGCCTAGAGAGCGATCGTTCCTCGAGTGTGCCCAAGAAATGATAGATCTGAGTGCAAGAGAGGAAGAGACGCGGAGGGAAGTAGAAGAACCAGGGTGGACCCGGGTGAGTGACAGACGACCCCGGACCGCCCAGATCGGGTGGAGGAAGAGGGAAATGAAACACCCGAACGGAGAAAAAGCCACGACGGGCGAGAGAAGATCCGGACAGTCCAGGCCTAGGAATGGACCCCGGAGGGAAGACAGAAAATGTCACGGGTGCGGGAACCCGGGACATTTGGTAGCACAATGTCCGCGCACTAGATGTTTCGAGTGCGGGACGGAAGGGCATATTGCCAGACAGTGCCCGTACATGTTTCGCAGGAGAGAGAGACCTCTAGACGAGCCAATGGAGGTGAACGCTCAAAAGTTGAAAAAACGAGCTAGGATGCAGCAGAGAGACGGATCTTCGGAAGAGGCAACCGAGGAGTCGGGGACGTCGGGAACGGAGACTGACGAGCCAGCCAGCAGTGGAGGCGAAGGAGGCAGGAGCAGCCAACGGAGCGAGCAACGACGAGCGACGGCGGTAAGGAGGAAGCGAGGTGGCATCTGAGAAGGGTGTCAGCAGAGAGGCGACCGCACAGCAACCTGCAACAATATTAGAGGTAAGCCATGCTGGTTGCCGATTATTGAGGTAGACGGGGGAGTGAAGTGTCTCGTGGACACAGGGAGCTCGAGTACTATCTTGACTCGGGGGGCGTTGGGGAGAGTGTGCGGGAGCGAGAGGGTACTCCGGATACAAAACTGTGGCTGCCAGCTAATCACTCTGGGTGGTCCCTGTAAAGTAGAAGGGGAAGCGTCAATTACGCTTGATCGGTGGGCAGGGAAAAAGGGGGAGCTAAAGGTGCATGTGGTAGAGAGCATGACGCGGGAGTACCAAGTCATAATAGGGTGTGATCTGTTAGGACAGGTAGGGGTAAGCATTAGAAACCGTAGAGGAGCTTGGAGTATCAGGCTGGGAAAGAGGAAATTTGGATGTATAGGGGTCGCGAGAGAAAGAAGGGTGCGGATAGGAGCGGTGAACAGGGTGGAGGACTGGAGAAAGGCGTTACAAGCGGAGTTCGTAGATATTTTCTTCAGGGAGGGCGAGGTATTGGGGGTAACAGGGAAGACGGTACACGAAGTTCCACTGAAGCAAGATAGGGTGACCTACGTAAAGGAAAGGAGATACCCGCAGGCGCTGAGGCAGCATATTCGGGAGGAATTGGAAAGCCTAAAGGAGCAAGGGATCATAGTCGATAGCACCTCGCCATTTAATAGTCCCCTGTGGGCAGTGAAAAAGAAGGCAGCGCCGGGGGATAATAAGGAAAAATACAGAGTGGTAGTGGACTATCGTAGGTTGAACGACAACACGGTAGACGAAAAGTACCCGATCCCTAGATTCGAGGATATACTTGATAGGTTGAGTGGGGCCGTGGTGTTTAGCACGTTGGACCTCAAGGCGGGATACCACCAAATACGGATGCACCCGAAGGACCAACATAAGACGGCGTTTACATTCGAAAGGGGGCATTACGAATTCACCAGAATGCCGTTTGGTCTGAAGAATGCGCCCATAACGTTTCAACGCCTGATGGACGAATTTCTGAGGGGGATCGACGACTCCGTATGTCAGGTATACATGGACGACCTGCTGATTTTTAGCAGAACGGAAGCCGAACACGTGGGGCATTTGAGGTCGGTATTCGAAAGGCTGCGACAATTCGGGCTGAAACTGTCCAGTGAGAAGTCCCTGTTGGGACAAACGCGGATCAATTTTTTAGGCCACACTATTTCTAGCGAGGGGGTCAGACCGGATGCGGCAAAGGTGGAGGCTATCACACGAATGGCGGTGCCACGGGACGTAAAAGGGATTCGTAGGCTTCTCGGGACGCTGAATTATTATAGAAGATTCGTACCTGAGATGGCAGAATACTTGGTACCTATCAATAACTTGCTGAAGAAAGGCGCGAAGATCGTGGTGACACCGGAAATGGAAAATAATATTCGGAAATGCATGGATAGGTTGCAGGCAGAACCCGTATTGGCGTTCCCGGATTTTGAGAAGCAGTTCAACGTCACCACCGATGCGAGCGAATACGCGTTGGGGGCCGTTTTATCCCAGGGCAGAAGTGAGGGTGAACGTCCGATAGCATACGCGAGCCGACGACTTACGAGCGCGGAATCACGGTACAGCGCGTTAGAGAGGGAGCTACTCGCGATAGTGTGGGCCATCGACCATTTCAGGCCATATATATTTGGGAGGAAGTTTCGAGTCCACACCGATCACAAACCCCTTCAGTGGGTAGGAAAACTTAAGGAAACCTCTGCGAGGGTCACGAGATGGAAAGAATTCCTTAGTCAGTACAACATGGAGGTGGTGTATAAGCCGGGAAAGGAAAACGTGGTGGCAGACTGGCTCTCTAGGGCCATCATGATCAACGCGGTAGAAGAGGACGGGGGAGGTCCATCGCGGGACGTGCGCCAATTCTTGAGGGAATGGACTCCTGAGGGTGAAGGGGCAGATGATACCGTCAGTATAGAGGACAGGGAGGGGTCCCCGGAAGAAGATAGCTCAGCGGAGGAAAGACCAGTGGCGATGGAGGAAATAGACGAAATCATCAACGACAAGCATAGACAGGTAATCTGGAAAACCAGGACAACAGGGATCATGAAAATAGATTACCGAAGATACGGGAAAAGTAGGATTCGCGTCATTTGGTCGCAACCCGGGGTGAGCGAGGAGCAAATCCGTACGGCACTGAAGGACGCCACGGAACCGGGAAAGACACACCATCTCTATGTTGGGAACAACACGGTATGGGAGAAAATAAAGCGGATGTGGAGATCCGAGCGAATAGGCATGGATAGAACGATCATCCGGTGCAAGTATGCAGTGGAAACCGTACAGGATGAGGAGCAGCAACAAGCAATTACATTGGCATACCACCAGGGGAAGACCAACCACCGAGGCGTCAACGAGACGTTGCAGGCATTACGGCGAAAGTATTTCTGGTGGGGAATGAAAAAATCTATCCAAGGAATCATCGGGAAATGCGAGGTGTGTATGCGCACAAAGTATGATCGACACCCCCCCAGAGGAGTTCAGGAAGAGACACCTACAGGGAATATGCCGCTACAAGACCTCCAGATCGATACATTCACCTGGAAAGGGTTCAAGTGGGTCACGATCATCGACACCTTTAGTAAAGTAGCTATGGCACATCAGGTCATCGACAAGTCTGCCAATGCAGTTGCGGAAGCCCTACAAATCTGGATACAGTTTTACGGAGTTCCCGAGAGGATCACATCAGACGGTGGCAGAGAATTCGACAATACCGCGATTAGGGAGGAGGTGAAAAGGTTAGAGGTTGTGTGGCATTATAACACACCGGGACACCCTAAGAGTAGAGGAGGAATCGAACGTTTGCACAGCACGCTGAGTGACCACATCCGTGTATATCAGGGAGAGAAAGGGTTGGAGCCGGATGTCGCGATGAAGAAAGCCGTAACAGCTTACAACCATTCGATCCACTCCGTAACGGGGTTTTCACCTGTGGAAATACTATTCGGGATGCGCAGGCCAAGGAGAGATTGGGGGGAAACAACGACCGATGAACATCTCGTAGAGCAAATCCAGAGTACTAGGGTAGAGGTAGGAAAGACGTGGGGAAAGGTAGCGGGGAGAATTCAGCGGGAAAAGGAGAAGCGGGTAGCGCGGCAGAATGTGCAGGTACGTGACCGAATGGGAGAATTAAAAATCGGAACAATAGTGTATCGTAGAATTGGAACCAACAGAGGGAAACAATTGTTACGGTACGAGGGCCCATTCAGAGTGGTTGCTATTAGGGAGCATAATCTAGTAACCATTGAAAGCATTAACGAACCTAAGAAGAGGAGAACTGTTCATATTGAACAATTGAAGCTCCCAATGTTAGAACCGGTACAGAAACCAACTGATTCGTAGTACCCTTATCGCGTATTATAAAAAAATATGTTTTTTTTTATTATTATTACTGTTGATGATGTCATTTTTTTTTTTCTCTCATTATTTTCGTTGTTCTTGTAAATAAAGATATGGCAGCATAATAGAGGTGATTGTAATTTTTATAGGATTAAGAGTTCTGTCCATTGTTAATAAGACGTTGTGTGTTTACTTTCTGTGGTTTATTTCTTTTTATTTATTTCTCGTTCCAGCGGAGTGGAAGTGAGGTTTGGTGTACTTTAAGTTTATACTGGTACGAATAAATTGTAAAGGGTTAAGGCTGATACCGGTGGCTCCGATCTAGGAATTTATAAGTTTCCGAAAATCCTATTCGTAAACTGGTGGGGGGGAGATAAAGACCGGAGACTGGCGATATCAGCCTTAATACCATCTTGTAATGTAAATAAACATAGCAATTGTATATAAGGCAGATTATTGAACGAATAAAGCAGTGTTAATTCAGAAGCCGTGAGTATTGTTTCTCGTTCCTCTCTCCTTCTTTTTTTTTATTTACAAAGCCCGGAGACGCTTAACTTATATATATATATATATATATATTTATATACATTAATTTCACTTATGACCTTTTGTATCAGAGTAATGAATTTTAAACTGAAACAATTGTTAATACATAAATTTTACCTATAGGAAAACGAACCAAAGTTAATTGTCGAAAAATTCGGATAATTATTTAAAAACTCAAAGCAAGGCCTATTTTTCAAATGTTACTCTCTATCTTATTGTTGTTTTGGGTATATGATATTATATGTTTAGTATGTGGGTATGTGATATGTATTTAAACCTATTTATTGCATTTATTTTTGCTAATGAATCTCGTTATCAAACAGAAAAGGTGAGGGGAAGAAAAAAATAAATTAATAAGAACATATGGTTTTATTCATTAGAATGAATAACATTACATATCTATTTAGATATAGGTAGGTATTTTAATGAAATGTTTGAAAACAAAATAAAATTCCTGAATAGTCGTCAGACTTTTTAGATTATAATCTTATTATTTCTAAAAATGGGATATAAAGATATGCACAGTACCTGAAAAAATAAAAACAAAGTTACGTTTATTCATTGATATTATTTATATAGTAACCTTAATCTACATGCTCTTAAAGTGACTAGTATATTGACATGAAATGTTATAAGTATGAGTACAGTAGATATAATAAGTAGGCCTACTCTATGATAAAATGCTATTAGTATTCAAATCAATTACAAAGCTGGTTTGTATTAGTTTCCAGAGTGACACCAAATATAATACTGTACAATAATACAATCCCTAAGTTCAGACTCTTAGCCGTCTTTTTTACAATCCCCAGACTTATATGGTTGTCATATCTGTTTAAAGTAAGATCACAAGTATGAGAGCATCATAAAGTTTCTTATATTACGTATTTACAAATTAGAAAAAGAGATATACATCAGAAAAAGTGAAATAAACTTATGCCTATATTCATTGCATACGAATACACTCCGATAATACAAATTTATTTACAAACCTATAAATAATATTATACAATTTCAAATTTACAAAGGAATGCAATTTTCATCAGATATAAACTCTAGAAATTGAAGGTAATATATCTATCTATATGTAGTTTCTTTAGAATCGGTACAAACACGAAAATATAAAAGTTAAAGAAATTTTCAAGTTATTCAGATTTTAATAAAAATATAAATTAGTTATAAATTACAAGTCTCTATGTACTAATTTATGTACATAAATATACAATTAGGTCTTTAAGACCACATATTGGTGATATATTTTCAAATAGTTATCATATTTCACTCTAAGTAAATAAATTCATGTGACTTATAATGACTCTTTCCCAAACCTCGTCTTTATGTAGCCATTGGTACTGACAGTTGACACCTTTTGACATCAGAATAGTCTAAATTATACAATTAGGATTGGAAGTCTAAAAATAGATATTTTACATTGCCAGTTCTGTGCAGCTGTCATCAATAACACAGCGGGACGAGGAAAGTTTATGCTAAGAAAGATTTTCATAAAAAGGCATCATTACTTCGAACTGTATTCATATTCATCTCACAGTATTATTAATTTTACAGTGCTTTCAGCATACCTCAAAAACTACTAAGAAATATGTTTTATGTATCATTGTGAGAGAAAGATTAATAGATTTGAAATCCGTTGCCGAAAAAATATCTCTACATTTCATATCTATAATTTTACAATATGAAATGTATAATGCATTTAGAAGTGCAAGTTATATAATGCTATAACAAGATAAGTGAAAACTTTTATGTGTAAAATCGACAAGACTAATTCATATACGATTGTATATTTCTCGATCATTCAAAAGACAAAACATACCTTCAAAGGCAACGTATGAGACCAATTATACATTTGCCTTTGAGCACCAACCATTCAATGTCTCTCAGCAAAACATATTCAATAAAACCGCCCCTATTGAACTATATACAAGAATTAGGGGGTGACGGGGCGGGGGCGGGTGTGGTGCTGCGGGCGAACGGGGCGGAAGGTGCTGCAGGAGGCCATGTAGAGCTGGTCCCCGGAGATGTAGGAGAAGCCGCTGACGGGGGCCGTGGCCGGGCTGTGGAGGGGCCGCCTCGCTCCCTTGCCGATGTAATAGACCGGCGGCGAGGCGAGCAGCTCTAGCTACAGCTCCGTCACCGGGATTGCCGTCCGCAGGGTCTGCTGGTAGTAGCTGTTCACGTCGTCTTCTGAGAGGGTCTTCCTGTACTCGTGCTCTTTGCTGGCCATCGCGCGCTGCTTGTTGAACTTGTAGTCTTTGAAGACGTCTCTCACGCGCCGGCGATAGCGATATATCAATATTCCCAGGAGGGAGCTGAACGCGACGACGGCACCGCACAGTCCTCCCACAAGGGCGTGCTGCCAGGGCCCCTGCATCGAACAGCCCAATTCGTCTGAGCTGAGCAGCTTCAGGGGCTTGTCTTTCAGAGGAGGAGGGGAGGCACAAAGCACCTGGCTCACATTTCTTCTCACCAACAGCTCCTTCAGCCAGGCCAATTTACAGCTGCAATGAATAGGGTTCTCGGAAACGTCTAGGGTACGGAGTTCTGGCCAAGAAACGAGGGTTTCAGAAAATGTAGTAAAGCCATTTTCACGAAGGATCAGATGCTTCAGGTTGGGTAATCCTCCAAGAGCTCCATCTTCAAGATAAGTCAGTTTCTTGTTTATGCTCAGTATTAGGGTGTCGAGGTTCAAGTTTTCTCTAAGAAAGCCTTTCTCTATTTTTTCTAGTTTCGGAGCGCCGGTTATGTCAAGGTTCTTTAAATTCAGCAAGCCATTAAAGGCGTCGAGTCCAATTGTAGTAAACATATTCTGACCCAGAGCCAGTTCCTCAAGCCGTTCTAGAATACTTAAAGCTTTGGTAGGAACGTTAGTCAATCTACTGCCGGTCAGTGAGAGAGTTCGTAGAGTGGTCAATCCTCGAAAAGCATTATCACTAATGTTCTCCAAGCCCGCTCCACTCAAATTGAGAATCGTGAGCCTGTTAAGTCCTTTGAAAGAATCGTCCGGTAGTTGATTGAAGACATTCAATCCAACATGGAGTTCTGCAAGGCTTCCGAGAGTTGGAAAACAAGTTGTTGGCACGATCTTCAATTGATTGTCGTCTAGCAATAGTACTCTGAGGGACGTCAATCCTAGAAAAGCTGTCGAGTCGATTCGGTTTATACGATTCTCCCCGAGATCCAGTTCCTCGAGTTGTGGCAAAGAGTAAAAGAGTTTATCTGGCAAATCTTCCAGGAAGTTTCCTCTCAGATTGAGAACGGTGAGTTTTTTAAGGCCTTCAAAGGTCCTGTTAGTTATTGCAGAGATTTTGTTGTATTTTAGATGTAGCTCGATAAGTTTTTTCTGCGAGTCGAAACTACGTGATGGGATGCTCACGAGGTGGTTGTGGGATAAGTCTACATATTGCAGTTCACCATAAAACTGAAAAGCAGCGTCGACTGTCTTCACTTTATTGTATTTGAGGACAAGCCTCTGGATAGAGGGGTTCAGAGTGATGGGCACGACATCTAAGCTGGCTTCTAAACAAGACACCACTAACGTATCGTCGTCGCAGAGGCAGCTTGTAGGGCAAAAGGCTGTGGCGTAGGACACAAGCCCGAACCAAAGTCCAATCTCGACCCACATCATCTGAAACAATAAATAAAAAATCATTAGGATAACTGAGCAGTTAGAAATAACAAATATAATTATAGCAATGATTAATAAATTTTCAGTAATTAATGTTAACAAGAAGGTACCGAAGAATAAGTCAATAATCCTTTTAAAATTATTGTCGACATTAAAAGTAGTAAACAATTTTACTAAATCAGTTTTTGGAAAAAGTATTGTCTAACTACATAATAATAAATATAGATAATAATATCTTCACAGATCTTTAGACGCTGAATAACCATTAGATGTCATTACATTTAATGATAAGCAATTATCTTGAGAAGGTCATACGTCAATAACAAACAAATAAACATTACTATTCTGAGAAGCAGAATCACCATTAACCTTGAATTTAATAGTCAGTTAGAGGTGAACTTGAATACGTGCTTGGTTAGAACGAAATGAAACATCATTGATTGTACACCTGTTGAGATAGCGACTCGTTCTTCCTAATAAATAATTCATTTCAGTGGATTCGCTACGCGAGAAATACAATTTATGTAAACAATGAGCGTCGTCGTGTACATTTACATTTGACACGGTTGTTTATTAACTTCGAAATGTTATTAATTACTTACTGGGCAAGACGATACGTTTCCTAAACAAACTAAAATACAATTCAGCACATATACGTGAAGTAATGATTTCTTTTAAATAGCCCAATAAAGTGTATTAAAAATGTAACTGTCATAAACCTACAACTTCTTGTCCCACATTATCCTTCAATGATATTCCACTTGTTCCTGTTGAACAAATACGCTACCTAGGACTCCACTTGGATAAACGTCTCACTTGGAATTCGCATACTAGACTGAAACGACAAGCAACTGCTCGACTACTATAACACTTTCTAGATGAACGTTCTAAACTTTCAATTAATTACAAAAGATTCATCCACTTAAACATAATGGACATACGGAATTGAGCTTTGGGGCTCTACCAAACCATCGAATTCCTATTGTATCCAATCCTTACAATTCAAAATCCTTCGTAAAATCCTTAATGCCCTATATTTTTTCGCAAATATAACTATTCATAAAGACCTTAATGTTCCATATGCCGCTGATTTAGCCCGAGCCAGATACCTATCCTTTCATGATAAACTCCAGTCCCATCCGAATCCACTTGTTTCCAGCCTTGCTTCTTCCTCGATTTCTGATAACCCCCTAGGCGTCTGAAAAGAAGATGGCCTCGAAATGATCTTATCTAGAATTAAATAGGGAGTGCTACCACTGGGTAGTATCTCTTCATGTCATTATTTCTGTGTGCGGTTTTGCTGCTTGTATTTTGTATAGAGTTGCGAATTTCATTAAATAAATAATAATAAAGAATGTAACTAAGATAGTCTAAAGTACTAAATTAGCATTTCTGTTCACACTCATCTCAATAATAATTTTTATATATACCCAACCTCACGTTTTAACAGGATACCCATACCTCCACAGTAGACCCGATCGGTGCTAATTCACCAATACTCACTCGTGTTCAAGTACAATGACAAGAGATCTACGAATCAAGACTGTCTAAAGTCAGCAGGCGGACGAAGATATAAATTTCTTTAATTGGAACAGACCTTTTATGGACCAAAACACGTAACGGTTACTGACATCCTAAAAACCACATCACAATTCCCGTCCGTCGGTAGGGATTTGTCGTAGGGTCATCACTTCAACATTTAGTAGATGTGAGTGGCAGTCAGTAGGATGTTAGGCCTAAAGTATCTCATATATATATATATATATATATATATATATATATATATATATATATATATATATATATATATGAGATACTTTAGGCCTAACATCTTGTATCCTATATATATATATATATATATATTTATAAATTGATCCTCAGAACTGACGGGACTGAGATTTGATTTTATTAATTCTTGGTAGAAACATTATATTAATTGGTAAAGAAAAGAAACAGTAAACGTCTCAGTAGAGCTAGAGAGAGAATTAAATAATATATGTATTCTATAGGTTGATGAGGGATTATAAAGGATTTGTCGAAGTAAGCTGTTCTCTGAGAGGTTCCATACAGTTTTGAAAAACAGTATTACGAGTAGTCATGAATAGAGGTTCGGAAGGAATAGACATAGCCATATATTCCTTGGCCATTGAGAACGTTTGAGTGACAAGATTATATTTCCATTAATGCACAGGACAAAGATCATTTTGTAGCAAGTGACACCTCCGCTTGTCCACATTTCGAACATTCGTATCCGGGTAACAAACCTTTCCAAACAGGAAAGTTATTTTTAGTCACAATAGTACGGTCATTGTAAACATAATATCTTATAGATCAATAGCCAAGTTAACGGTGATAGAGTGATGATGCCTAAGAGCTCAATGGCGCCCCCAAGAGCGAGCAACTCAAATTGGTACTTCATTGTCAGCGTAGAGAACGCTGCTAAATGGGTTAATGGTCGGATTATAAATTCAGATGGAGCTGTTGGAGGTATATCGCATTAAAGTAGTCCGGCTTTGTATCTTCATTTATTTTCATTGCGCGAGGGTAGAAGGTGGACTAATGGGCAGCAAGGTTTGCCACTTAGGGCGCTCCTTGTAGACCCGGTGGAGTAAACAAGCTTAGCTCCTATAGTCTGGTTATAGCCGTACCTTCCGTCTCCAGTCCTACAACAACCTTATCTTAAGGTATTCCTAAGGAGGGTGAGGAGGTCATATTACAGGAAAGGAGAGCGAAATCCGTTTTCCGATAAATTATTTATGCGGGTTCCGAACCAAAGGACTAAATTAAATCTTAGATATAAAGTTAGATCTTGGTTATAAATAGCTTAAATAAAAGATATAAAGTGAATTTAGCTACAGTTTACATACAATATCACGATGAAATGATGGCAAAATACCGAGAAGACAAAAAGAAGTAAGTATATAAATAAATACGACATATATGCAAGTTAATGTGAAATATCATGTACACATCAACCACTTGATTAACGGACAGAGGGCTTCTAATCTTAGAGGACTTCATTAGGTTTGGTAAACGGACGAAGTATACCACCGGATTTGATCATTCTGGTATTAAACAATAATTCAATAATGAAATAAAGCTTAAACAACTCTGAAAAAAATTCACATTCATTCTTTTGTCAGATGTACTCCACTTAAGATATTTTTAAAATGTAATTCCTATAACATATAAGTTATTGGTCATTTTTTTAAAACTATTTAACAATGATAATAAATCATTACAAAAATCAGACATTGTTACTACATTAATTTTTTAATATAGGTGCAAAACCCCAATGAAACTATATGCAAATATTTTAAAATGGAGTCAATTTGGATTTAAAAATATTTTGGACGATTTTCACACATTATTAATTTATACCTTCGAGATCTTTAGGCCTCACAAAATATTTTTTTTATTTTCAGCTATTAACATATTTATTTGCAATTTCGTTAAGAGAAAAAATTGAAAATGATACAATTAATTCATTCACTAAACTAAAAAAAACTTTTAAGACTCCCATTCAGTCCAAAGTGTTTTTACTGTGTTGAAATTTATGACATTGTTTAATTTATTTGATAAAAGCTTCAGGTCAGAATTACTGAAACAACAAATTTTAAAGTAAAAATGAAATATGGTTACATTCACAGCTGTGGGAATTACATGAAATCGATGTTATTTAAAAAAAAAATAATAATAATTTTCTGTTTTCTAAAAAAACGAATTAAGTATGAATATATTTTATAAATAAAACAACAATTATATATAATTATTCCCACATTTAATAGAATTTCACACAACGGAAACACAAAACGGATATTTTATAACAGTTTCATTAAAGCAGTGGTGGGAATTTATCCACAGGGGTTCTAACGCAACAGAACTTTTGCTAGCAGTTCTCTTTTCCTCTGAGATAAACTTGGAATAAAAATATTGTCCAGGGCAAACCTAGTCAATCTGAGCGAAAACATTTCCTAACTTTCTTCATTAAATTTAGTAATTAAAAAGTTTCATAATTTCCTTGAATTTTTAAACAAGAGAACTTAGCACAGAGAGCCTTATTTAAGGCAAAGGTTATGATATGGAAATTTAAAGAAAAAAAAAAATATTACAGGGTATTGAATCGGAAAGATCACCACACTAATCATGGAAAAAATATAAATTCACAAAACAATAGACAGGTTCTAAAAGATTCATAAATATTTATGTCAGAAATATTATTCTTATATGAAGTACCATCATAAGCATTATTTCCCATCTAGAAGTTATTGCAAATAATTATACTTTAAAAATCTTATTAAAATAATATTTACTTTATTTGATTTGTTCATTATTTGATTAAATAATCTAGAAGGCTGAAATCTGTTAGAAGTACTCTGATCAAATATTTTCATGCAAAGTTCTTTACAAAAATAAAATTAATGGTATTTTTCAGGATGAGAATCGTGGTACATCGATAATCGTTTATAACTAGTTTAAAATACCGAGTCAACTTAGACTGTTCCTACCAAGATTTGACTATATTCCATTTTATTTTTTAAGTTTATGTTTGATCAAGTTTTTAAAACAACGTTCGCGTCAGCTTGATGGAGGTCCTCAGCTGTTAAGACTTGAAAAGGGTAGAACGTGAGAAAAAAAAAAAAAAAAAGAAACCTTCCACTGTAGTACAAAAAAAAGAAAAAGAAAAAGAAAGACATAACATTAAAAAACAACAACATAAAACCACACGTTTTAAATCAACCAAAATATCGGAGTAAAAGAATAAGAAGAACACTATAGCAATAAATACAAGAGAAATCAAGTAGTTGAAAAAAAAAAAACTGGTATAGGTAGGAAAAGTAAAAAAAAAAACATCTCAAATCAGAACAAGGAAATGTTATCATATTTTTGTTTAAAATTAGAACGTTATGATTTCTCATTTTGGGGTAAAAAGAAATGGGTGGAAAGACTCTAAATATACGAACATGGCCAGTGGTCTTCACATGGTAGGACTTGCTTTCTTGATTAGAGGGGAAAGTAAATGAAATCAAACCTTCAAATCAAAGCCTTTTATATATTACCCTAAACGAACCGCCTTCCAATTTTGTTTATAATGAACTCAATATAGTATTCAAATATAGTTGAGCATCATGGTAAATAATCTTCGCAGTCAGACATATATATGTATATATATGTGTGTGGTGAAGCTTCCCGCCATGTAGGACCGGCATGACGGAAGGTCGAATGGAGGATGTGAAAAAAAAAAAAAAAAATTTGCTTAGTAATATCCTTATGAATTTCACAATGCTTCATCATGAAAAAGGTCTCTAAAGAAAGCTTAAACAATTTATACAATAAACTATAATAATAATAATAATAAGGCTTAGCGAACCCGAAGGTTCGATGCCGACACCACCAATCGCTTGTTACACACCTCCCTCCACCGTTCGCCGTCCAAACCCAGTCCCTTCAGATCAGCTTTAATGCAATCTTCCCACCTTCGCTTCGGTCTACCCCTCCGACGCTTACCATTCGGCACAGCAGATATTAACCTTTTAGGAATTCTCTCGTTACTAAGCCCAACAACTTTACAAGCCCATTTGATTCGCCGCGATGAAATTACCTCAATTATATTACCCGGATATAGCTCACGCAATTCGGCGTTGTGTAACCGTCTGAACTCTCCGGTTAACTCATCCTTCTTCGGTCCGAATATTCTACGCAATACTTTATTTTCAAAAACCTTAAGACGCTGCTCATCCCTTAATGTAAGCGGCCAAGTTTCGCATCCATAAAGAACTGTAGGCAAAATAATTGTTTTATAGATTCTAATTTTTAAGTTTCGGGACAAGAGGCGCGAACTGAGTAGTTTTGTCACAGAAAAATAACAAGCATTCCCCGCCTTCAGTCTAACTTTAATCTCTTCTTCAATTTCGTTTTTTCTAGTTATTGTAGAACCTAGATACCTAAATTTATCTACCTGTTCAAACATATTACCATCTATATCGAGATCACCAGTAGTATCGCCATTTTTGCAGCTAACCATATATTTTGTTTTATCCACGTTTATTTCGAGTCCTAGTTCTTTACCGGCTTTCATTAACGTTGTCGTATTTAGTTTTATAGTTTCAACGTCTTCGCTTAACAGTACCAGATCATCAGCATAGCCCAGCACGGATGTTGTCCCACCCAGATCCAACCCTTTCTCGGTACGCATTACCTCCCTAATGGCATGTTCTAATGCCAAATTGAACAGGACAGGCGAAAGAGAATCCCCCTGTTTTAAGCCCGAACGAACCTCAAATTTTTCGGACAAATTATTACCGATTCTAACTTTATTGAGTGTCTCCGTCAAGCACATCCTGACTAGATTTACTAGTTTTTTTGGAATTCCCTGCTCGATTAGAATATTATACAGTTTCTGGCGGTCAATAGAATCGTAAGCCTTTTTAAAATCTATATACAGCTGGTGAACAATACCGTTATACTCCAATTTTTTCTCTAATATTTGCCGTAAAGAAAATATTTGATCAATAGTCGAACGATTCCGTCTAAATCCGCATTGGTAGTCTCCGATAAGTTCCTCGGCGTATTCCGTGATTCGACTGGTTAAGATTGAAGTGAATATTTTATAACATACCGGAAGGAGTGAAATTCCTCGATAGTTATTACAATCCGTCCTCGGACCCTTTTTGTGAATCGGAATAAGAATAGATTCTTTCCATTCTTCAGGTAATTTCTCGTTCACCCAGATCATTTCAACCAACCGATGTATTTTAGAAACTCCAGCTTCCCCGCATGCCTTAATTAGTTCAGTAGGAATATTATCGATTCCCGCTGCTTTATATGATTTTAATTTACCGATAGCTACTTCAACTTCCTCTTTACTTGGTCCTTCTATCAACGGTTCAGCACTCTGGTACTCAGAAGGAGGACACAGATCATAATTTCCCGTATTTAAAATATTGTCAAAGTGGTCCTTAAATTTATTCAATATGTCAACCGGATCGGTCAGAATATTGTTATTATCATCCCTAATTCCAGACGTTACGGGCCCTACATATTTACGTGATCTGTTTATACCTTTGTACATGTCTCTTACGTTATTTTCGATTCTATTAGTTTCTATTTCAATTATTTTATTTTTAAGATACTCCCTTTTTTTATTTTTGAGCAATTTTTTCGTTTCGTTCTTTGAGATTCGGAAGTATTCCAGATTGTCTTCGCTAGGATTATTTAGAGCTTTTAATTTAGCGGCTTTCCTTTTTTCGCACATGTTTAAGCAATCTTCATCAAACCACGGTTTGTTATTCTTATTTTCCTTTTTTCCTAGACACGAGTTACCGACCGCTTTAATATTATCCCTGATCTCTACCCATAACTTGTCAATATCCTCGTGGTCCTCGTCAGGAAGCTCTAAAGCTTCAAACCTATTCTTAACATCTAGCTCGAATTGGTTTCTAATTGATGGATTTTTTAATTTTTCCAAATTAAAATTCTCAAAATCG